TGTTGTTTATATTAATCCTATTATGAACTAATTATTTTATTTGCCATTATCTGATTTATTGTTTGTGATTATTTTTCAGCATGGGTTAGAACCACAAACATTAGAATCTTTAAGATTACTGCGAGATCGTAAAACTCCATTCATCGTAGCTCTTAATAAGGTATATTAATACTAATATTTGTGATGTTATTTCAATTTTATTAAATAACTAAATAATTATCATTTTAAAAATATAAAGGTCGACCGTATATATGATTGGAAACCTATAGCAGATAATGCTTTTCAGGATTCCCTTGAGAAACAAAGTGAATCTGCTAAACGTGAATTTATGGACCGAGTTGAAAAAACTATCCTGGCTTTTTCAGAACAGGTAAATCAAATAGCTGCTGTAATAAACGATATATATGTAGTTTTTTGTATAATAAAATTGATGTTAATTTTTAGGGATTAAATTCTTGTCTTTACTATGAGAATAAGAATTTTGCTAAAAACGTTTCACTTGTTCCGACATCCGCTATTACTGGAGAGGGTATCCCTGATATGCTCATGCTATTAGTAAACCTAACGCAAACTAGGATGAGCGATAAATTAATGTACTTATCTGAATTGGAGTGCACAGTTTTGGAAGTTAAAGTGATTGAAGGCCTTGGTACGACCATCGATGTCGTTCTTTCCAATGGCGTTTTAAACGAGGGCGATAAAATTGTTCTTTGTGGTCTTAATGGGCCTATCGTTACAACCATTCGTGCATTGCTAACACCACAGCCATTGAGAGAACTTCGTATTAAGTCTGCATATGTTCATCATAAAAGTGTGAAAGCTGCACTTGGTGTTAAAATCTCAGCGCAAGACCTTGAGAAGGCGATCGCAGGTTCTCGACTTATGGTTTGTGGGCCTGACGATGATGAAGACGAACTCAAGGAAGAAATAATGTCAGATCTAACGAGTTTGTTGAACTCTGTTGATAAGTCAGGCAGAGGAGTATGTGTGCAGGCATCCACATTGGGTTCTCTAGAAGCACTTTTGGAATTCTTGAGAGTATCAAAGATCCCAGTGTCGGGTATAAACATTGGCCCCGTACATAAAAAAGACATCATGCGCACAGCTACTATGCTAGAAAAAGCCAGGGAGTAAGTATTGAAGAAAGTGCTACCATTATAAATACAATCATGCGCGTATTAAATTCTTTATTATATAATTTAGGCTTGCTGTTATTTTGTGCTTTGATGTTAAAGTTGAAAAAGAAGCACAAGATTTGGCAAAAGAACTGGGAATCAAAATTTTTGAAGCAGATATTATTTATCATTTGTTTGATCAATTTACAGCGTACAACAAGGTTTGTTCTTAATATCGGCGATCATACATTTCCTTAATTTGACCTATTGCAACTGAATATATTATTATTATTATTATTATATATATATATATATATATATATATTTTTTTTTTTTTTTTTTTTACTTAATAGGATATTCTGGAGCAAAAGAGAAAAGATCAAGCACCCCAGGCTGTTTTTCCTTGTGTTCTTAAAATTGTACCTGGAGCCATCTTTAATAAAAGAGACCCTATAATCCTAGGTGTTGATGTTGTTGAAGGTGTTTTAAGAACCGGGACTCCCATATGTGTTGTAAAAACAGACCCCGAAACTAAGGTATTGTTTTTGTTTTTGTTTTTAAACAAGAAATGAGCTATATATCCTAAATAAATAATAATACATGATCGTAGACGCGAGAAATTATAAGTCTTGGTAAAGTCGCAAGCATGGAGCAGAATCACAAATCGGTAGATATTATTAAAAAAGGTCGGTCAGGTGGTGGTGTTGCAATTAAATTGGAGTGTCCAGGGTATGAAACCCCAAAGATGTTTGGAAGGCATTTTATCGAAAGTGATGAGTTATATAGTAGGGTGAGTTTTTCATATCTTTACTTACTGTATACTTTTTTTAAGACATAAAAGTCGTCTAAATTTCACATATTGCATCTTTTTTAAAGATTTCACGCCAATCTATTAATGTGTTAAAGGAATCATTTCGAAATGATGTAAGCAACGAAGAATGGGCTTTAATAGTCAAGCTGAAAAAGATTTTAAGCATTGATTAGACAGGTTATTATTTGTTTTCTGTATTGGTGATATTCGTTCTAATTTTATTAGGTTCATTTCAACTGTGAAATTAAATCTAATATAAATTAATGTTACTAATAAAAAGATCAATAAAAATTATTAAAAATTGTTTTCATAACCTGGCCATGTTAAGATTTGAAAATTTTATAGTGGCTTAAAAATTTTTTTTTAGAATACTACGTTAATATCAACCTCGTTAATATCAACCTAAACTATAGATCAAATTTCTGTATATTAAAATTCCCTCATATACGGGTGACCTCCGTCAATATCAACCCATTTTGAATTAGGCAATTATGTTGATATCTACGGGATGATAACAAATAATTATTTATATGGTTCGAATTCGATTTTTTACTAAGCAAATTGCCTTTCGCTTCTAATAAAAGTTGTAAAGGACATTCCAATGATTTTTATGGTGATAAAATCATTATTAAATTTGACCTAGTGGATCATGAGATATGTATGTACGATTTACATTTCACGACTATAAAAATTTTCTTTGCAAAGAAATTTTATAGTCGTGAAATGTAAAATGCACATATCTCAATATACTAGGTCAAATTTAATATCACCATTAGAATTATTAGAATATTTTTTATAGTTTTGGACATATGTCCAATTAACTTTGAAAACAATTGGACATAGTAACCTTTCCATCACTGAGTTAATGATGTTAATAATAAAAAATAAATAGTTATTATTATATAATAAAAAATCATATTATGTACTGTATATAGGGATGTTATATGGTCTGGCCTAAACTGAAAACCACGGTTAGTTTAAAACTAGTTTGAAGCTAAAAACTTTGTTTGGGTTTGCTTTTAGTATTAAGATCAAATCAGTTTGGATTAGACTAGATTAGTATTAAAAACTAAATCAAACTAAATAAAAAAAAGATTTGACTAAACCAAGCTGGAAAAATAATCACAAACAATAAATCAGATAATGGCAAATAAAATAATTAGTTCATAATAGGATTAATATAAACAACA